ATTGTATACACTGGGCCTACGGTTTATAGTCCTTATCCGAGAAGACTTGTTCTACCACCAGAACCATAGGCGAGCGTGCCGTTCGAACCAGCGCCGATATTATGGCTATAGCTTGCGGCGCCCCTGCTAACCGCTCGGCCATTCGACTCACCTAAAACATAAGACATAAAACGACTTGTTTTTTATACTTACCGACGTTCTAAACCATTATTTAGAACTCATACCAATTGTTTAGTTATTTGGTAATTTTAATGTATACAGTATAGTAATCACTATCAATGTTTTTTTCTTAATGTATTTGTATGTTTTTACGTTGTAATGTAGTCAAATTCAGTCATTCGCTGTCGATTGTAAACTGTACACCGAAAAATATATAAATAAATAAATAAATAAATACCATGTAAGTGTTTTCAGATGATTTAAAAAAAGCAGTGTAGTTTTATACAGTATTTTTTTAAAGCTTTGTCTACGCTATCAAATTTCATAAAAAAGCATCACATAAAATGTGATGTAAAATAAGAGTTGATAGTATGTGATATGACGTAATTGTTCCCAAGTATGGGTACATCAAATTTGTTTGTCACATAAAATTTGATAGTGTAGACAAAGCTTTGTATCAAGGTTCAAAACGATATTAAAGCATCATATTATCAATAATCAATTTACAATTTATTTGACAATATCAAATACATTAATCAAAATATAACATAATGAAAAAAAAGTTTATTTTATTATTATTATTATTATTATATTATTATTTCATATTTATTATTATTATTATTATTATTATTATTATTATTACTACTACCATTAGACTTCTAAGGAAGCAACCCTATTTCGAGTCCGAAACGTAGCCCCTTACTCAAAAACACCATAAGTGTTAAGTTTAGGGGGAATTCATCGACTGACTGAGTAAGGAAGGTCTGCTTTCACAAGTGAAGGTACACAGACATCTCGCCGGCAAGTTCGATACAACAGTAGCCTCTGCCACTGCTTAATGCATCGGGTCTACTACCACTAGACTGCTAAGGAAGCAAACCCTTACTCAAAACACACACAATAAAAAAAAATACAAACTTACTTTAAACTACTTAATTACCCCCATCTTATGTTACTACTGTTTCTACAATCACCACTATACATTTGTTCTGTAAAGTCATGAGTATGATGAATTTTGAAGCAATAAAAGAAATTAAATTGAATACATATGATCATTGAACAGGAAATTATAACAAATTATTTGCAAAGAAAACGTAAAAAGGAATTTGTGTGTGTGTTTTTTTTTTTTCTATATTTGAATGAAATATTTTTGATAGGCCTTTGAGTACCAGTTTTCATTCATAGTCATGCACTGGTATTATATACAAACTATAATAGGTTAATGCGTAACATAAGTTATTAATAGATTTGTAATTATATGGCAAATCAATGCCATTAACATTATCATTGTACCAATAGCGATACTTTAGCAAAAACGGTAACAATTACTATGACAATATCAATGTCATCGGGTTCCATATAATTAAAATTGTTTCCCTTTTTAAATTGGTGGGTTAAGGCTTATAGCAGGTTTTATAGACAACGTGTAATTTTAATTTTGTTTAAGTACAAAAGCCAATGATTGTTTATGGGAAATACTGTATACATTTCACATGCTTCTAGGTAATAGGATTGATGATTACATGAAGAATCATCAGCGAAAAGAGGCGCAAAAAAATACAAAAAAAACGACTTGTTTTCTTTATAATTACCATCGTTTTAAACCATTATTTAGAACTAATACCAATTTAGTTATTTGGTAATTTTAATGTATACAGTATACCGTGGTAATCCATATCAATGATTTTTTTCTTAATGTATCTGTATGTTTTTATGTTGTAATGTAATCAAATTCAGTCATTCGCTGTAAACTGTATACCGAAATAGATAGAAATAAATAAATAAATAAATACCATGTAAGTGTTTTCAGAAGATTTAAAAAAAAAATAGTTTGTTTTTTTCTTTTTTAAAAGGCATTTGGGAGATAACGAACTAGTTACACTACAGTCAGGCGTCTTCAAGGATTTAGCAAGTCTTCAAACGTTGTAAGTGACAATCCACAAGTTATGAAATATAGTGTCTGTGATTGGAAGGTTTTGATACCAAAAAAAGTCGCAAAGCATTCAGTTTTATTTATTATAATTGTCATTTTAAAAGTATGCATATCCTGACATTCCATTGATGACGTAAACAACAGAGGAATGTGGCAAAGATAAGTCAAACCAGTCACTCCTCACAAAAAATTATTATTTATTAATACAGTGTTGAATAGTAAAATTAAAGCTCTAAAAATGTATTAAAATTTCATTATTAGGTTTTAGGAGTTTAAGTCTACAGCTGTTTAAAGATTAGTATTTAACAAATCAGCATCAAATCGTAGATAATGGGAAAAATAAGAACAATTAAGCATGATGATGTATTAGGTATGTAAAGTTTATTAGAAAATGTTAACTTTAATACATGTTTTGGCCATTATTTCCGAAAGGAGTTACTAGTTTTTCTTGTCTTCGCCACAAATATTAAAATTACATATTACATTACAACAATATCAGAGAAAAACAGAACCCGTCAAGTCATGTTTAGTTTAGTTTAATTATACAAAGGTTTTTCGACAAAACTGCATTGTTGACGACGCCCGTTACTTCATGAAGTGTTGTCTTTAACAAAACAACTCATAAAGTACCCCCTTTTCACTTAAAATCCCAATTTATAAATAATATGTATTCTGTATTGGATGGAGCGTCTACTCATTATTCATGCAAGCAGAAACGTGAAAGCAGAAATATGGTACTGGTATGCATGATAAACTTGTTTGGCGTAAGTTTGATAAAAACTGTGTCTCGCCTGCGAAATAATAATATTTTTCTACTCATGGTTGTTTGTGTACACGCTTTGAAAAAATAAATACATACCTGTATGCATTTGAACACCAAAGAGTGCCATGAGAGCCACAGCGGCTTATGTATCAAGATACCCTAGAAACCCAGACATGGCACTTTTATACTTAAAAATGCTTTAAAAATAACAACATTATAAAAGTAATCAGTCAAAATATATTAAAAGAAATTTATTGAAATCCAGCTATCACATTTCTGCGTTGTTGTCGTGAAATAGCATTAGAAACTTTGTTGCAACCTGTCTGATATCATATTTGCTTCTCTCTAAAAATTTACCAATGACTTCTAATCAAACAGAAATGTATTCAAATGGTAAATTTTATCAAGCTAAGCCTTGTTTTTTAAAAGAATCGCTACACTATCGCTACATTTTTTTTAATGCAATCGTCGCACTAGCGTAGCAGTCCTCGATGCAATCGGCAAAGCACTCCGAAGTAGAAAGGGCGACACCATAGGCCATTTGCATAATAATGAATGATTACATAATAATTTCATAATTATGTGGGTATGAATTTTTTTATAGTGTTGATATATTTATTTGCATATGCGGGTATATTAATTTTCATATTTTGCAGGTATATTAATTTGCATATGCTGGTATATTAATTTGAATATGCTGGTATATTAATTTGCATGTGCTGGTATATTAATTTATATATGGTTGTTTATTAATTTCCATAATGTTGAAATATTAATTTGCATAATGCGGGTGTGTAAATAATAATGAGAATATAGGGTATCGCTGAGCCTCCTATCTAAGTAGTTCTGAAAAGAACTGTTTTTGTTGAGAATGTCTCAACGCTAAATAATAATAATAACAATATGTAGATTACACAAATAGTAATGTAAAAAACCTGTGATAAATTGTAATCAACTTAGCTGAAAATTTGTAAATGAAAATACAAATCTAAATTTCTAACTTATTTTCAGTAGGTCTAGTTTAGTTAGGGAGAAAACAGGCAATAAGATTCGTTGAATAATAATAATATAACACTTACATAGGGTATTCTCATCCTGTTTTTACAAATAGTATAT